TGTTGAAGATGCGGATCTTGCTGTGCAGGGATAAGGCTTTGGAGTTCCAGATGGGTCGCAAGGTGTTGAACACGAGCCTTGCTTTGTTTGTTGATTCGGCTCCTAACGTCTTCATCTGTGCCGCCGTCTTTGCTTACTATGCTTCCAAGGTAAACGAAGCGCTCTGTTTCCTTGATGTCTTTCCCCTGCAGCTGCAGTGGGCGCTCTTGTTTGTTGTTCAGCCGCATCACCTCCGTCTTTCTGGTGTTGATCTTCAGGCCGGTCTTTCCTGCCTCCTCAGCGAGCCGGGTGAGCTTGGACTGTGCATGCTGTTGCTTGTGGGACAGAAGGCTGACGTCGTCCGCAAATTCCAGGTCCTCCAGCTGTTTAATGAGGGTCCACTGGACGCCGGAGGCGCTACCCTCAGTCGTTCTTCTCATGGTCCAGTCCATGACGATGAGGAAAATTGTCGGAGACAGCATACAGCCTTGCCTCACTCCGGTTTTCACTGGGAAGAGGCTTGTCAGCTTTCCGGTTGTGAATGATCTGGCAGGACGAGTCCTCATAGAGCTGCTGAATGATGCTGATGAGCTTCGGAGGAATTCCGTAGTGCTGCATCAGCTTCCAGATGGTTTCCCTGTCGACGCTGTCGAAGGCTTTTTCAAAGTCAACGAAGGTCGTATACAGAGGAGACTGCCATTCGATGGACTGCTCGATGATAATGCGCAGAGCGGCGATGTGGTCTGTACACGATCTATCTTGTATAAATCCTGCCTGCTCTGATCTCAGTCTTTTGTCTAACGCCTCTTTCAGTCTCTCCAAGATGATTCTAGTCAACACCTTGCTGGGGATGGACAGCAGCATGATTCCTCGCCAGTTGCTGCACTGGGAAAGGTATCCTTTCTTGGGCAGCTTCACTAGGTACCCAAGCTTCCAGTCGGCGTGCACTTGCTCCTGCTCCCAAATCTTTTGCAGGAGAGGATGTAGTGTCTCTGCTGCTGCTGCTGCGTCTGTCTTGAGAACTTCCGGCGGGATGCCGTCAGGACCTGCTGCCTTGCCGTTCTTCAAGGACTTGATGGCTTTGATGATCTCTGCCTTTGTTGGTGAGTTGGTGTTGACACGTAGGGGCTCCTCTGCTGGTGATGGTTCTTCCCTGTGCACAAAGCTACACAATGGGCTATCTGTGCTCTGCCCACCACGGGTATTGAAACCCGGTTTCTAGCATTGTAAGTCTGCAGACATCCCGCTGTGCCAGTGGGGGCGTAATTTTATATGGATTATATCAGAATCAAGACAAAAGAATCATATCGGAAAATAATTCTGATTTGAATTATTCATTACAATATTAATGGTATCTGAATTTTTCAAACATTAATTGATTGATTGATTATAGGCATTTAAAAATTAAAAACCTAATTCCTGTGTGCAATATTCTATTGAAAATTTAAAAACTTTCTTTGTTCTATAATTGAATAAAAAATACATTTTAAAAATAAGGTGATCAAACATATATTGTTATAATATTACAAATATGGTAGTTAAACATTTTAAACAAACCAACATAATTATTACTATTTTATGCTGAATATTAATATTTCTACATCATTAAATGTAAGATGCCATGTCTATTTTTAAAATTTGTCTTTTTTTTTTTTAGGAACAGACTTTTGTGCAAAGGGGTATGATTGCCATGCCAATGCTTCTTGTGTTAACCTTCCAACCCGTTATACTTGTCACTGTGACACTGGTTTCCATGGTGATGGAAAGAATTGTATAGGTAAGCCTGTATGAAATGAAATGAAATTTATGAAAAACAGTGTTTACTAAATGAGAAGATAAATTCTAAAGCAGCCCTAATCACATAAATTAGAAGTTCTACTCTCCTGTATAGTCTAGGTATGTTACTTACTGCTGTAATGTATAAATAAATTCTAGAGAATTTTTTTATATCTCTGAATATAAACATTAGGTTAATAAAGTTATGCCCTTATTGATTACTGCATCATTTCAGTTTTTTAACAAGTGATTGTAATTTTTCTGAACCTGGTCAGAGACTTAATTAACTTATTTTTCCATCTGCCATAGTTTCATGAGGCATCATACCTTCACATATGTATTAAAGTGTTCTTAAGATATCTAGCTATCTGTAACCTTTTATGTTTTTTAATATCCAAGTTAATTTTCAAGTAAATTTATGCACATTGAGCTTTGTGTCTTGTTAATCAGATGTCGATGAATGCCAGAAAGAGGGAGACCATAATGGTCATCACTGTCACAAGAATACTCAGTGCATTAATGTCCCTGGATCATATATCTGTGAATGTGTTCCAGGGTATCGAAGGGTAGATGCTTTCAGCTGTGCTGGTAAGGATTCTGATAATTCTTGTTTTCTTTGTTTGCCTAACTTTCTTCTGTTTTTCCATCTTATAGAAGAACTAGAGCAACAAAAAGTGGTTGGAGCATATTTTCTTTAACACAAGTAAACTTAAATGTGTTGACGTGATCCTTGGTAATGTTTGATTTCAAAAAAAAGTTGGAACTGTAAAATAATTCTTGAAGATACATTTTAACCTTTGAGGAGAAATGAAAACAAATGTGTACATGTACGTATATCAACTTAAGTTAGCAATTTGGTTAAGTTGTCTTTCACTAGTTGAGAATTAGTAATTTAATTTTAACCAAATAATGAATACTAACTTGTCAAAACCTTTTAATAAAACAATCTTACCCTAAGTAATACTGGTTAAATTTGTAGCTTTTAACAAGTAAGCAATATATTAAGTTAAAGCTACACTGTTGTATAAAAGGGATAACTATGAGCTCAGAAATACCTGAAAACATTACTCATAGCTCACATGCACTGCTGATCTTTTATGAGACATTAGTGCAAGTGAAATAGAAAAATGTACTTAGTTCTATAATTAAATTGGTAGTGTGACAAGATAATTAAAAGTATTTTGAATTAAGCATGTTTATTTTAAATATGTATCCAGCTTTATCCATGCTTAAATGTATAATGTAATCATACTTTAAAGGCAGTTATCTTAATTGTGGGTTATTCTTTGTTAAAAGTTAATGAATAATATATTTTGTATATTATGCATGAATATTATGTGGAAAGATAAGTGATACTCTGTTTAATAACTTAAACAAACATGTAACTATTATATAAAAATTTTAGAAAACTTTCTAAACTTTCTTTCCTAACAATTTAAATTTGTTTAAATTTTAAGTAGAAATATTTGCAATGTTAAGATGAAATAATGGGCTTAAATATATTTAATTTATCTCACTATTGTAGTTTAACTACATTCATTTCAACCAGAACATTGCATTAATTCCTAATTATTTGCTGTGAATATATAATGTGTGCATTAATATCAAAGTGACTTTAGTACAAATTATACTTGTATCTTGTACATGTATGCAGTAGCATTGGGCCATAGCCTGCCACCCCAAATATTTTGGACCCAGTTCAAGTTTGAGTGTTGGTTTCAGAACTTGAAGACATGAGAAATGAGGAAACTTTGAACCATCATTTTGTAATAACTGAACAAAAGTAGATAATATTGATGTTACCTACTGACCTAGGACTAGAAAAGTTTTTTATGTATTGGATTCACATTAGGAAACTCAACTCATATTAAATAGCAAAGATCATTACCAAGTAACATTGTTTTATAAAGTGTTGGATTTGATGTTATGAATGGTTTAGATGTCTACTGATTGTTTAGTGTCTCCAAATGCAGAGAAAATTCCTGTGTTGCAAGTCTTGCCTGCCTTCTATGTGGGCACTTTCAACTTAGAACTGTTAGTTTCTGAATACAAACAGATCATTTGCATAAGCCATCCAGCCTCTCAAGCTGAAACAAATTCATCAGACTTTCTTGCATATTGTAAAGGAGGGACTCACAGAGATGTATCCAAACAGTAACTCTTTTTCTTGCTTGATTCTAACTCTGCCAATCACATCTTGTTCATGTGAGCAATCCTTCACTACATTAAGTCTTTTCCAGGGCAAGCTCCATAACATCATGGCAGAGTGGTCTCTCAGTGGTGCTGTTGGTTAAGTCAGAATCAGTGAAGTCAATCAAATTAGATGATACTCATGATCATTTCTGGAATTTCTCTGTTGGTATTTACTATTACTTTACGCATGTGTACATATAGATACATATATGGAATAATGATTTAGCCCATTATATGATGCCTTCTTTTATTTTATGATATGTAACTTTGCACAAAACATCCAAATGTTACACGTGTATAGCAGTATAGAACCTAAGAAATAGATGTACAACTATTGGTGTGTAAATGTTATCAACAAATACGTGCTGTCTCCATCTCCACCTCCCTACAATAATACCATTCATGCCTGACACCCTTGCATATAGGTTTTTATCCAGTCAAAACTATCTTGAGAATATGAATGATTAGAGTTTGAATCTTTATTCTTTACAACTACTGCCCTATGAGACCATTTCAAAAGTAAAAGATTGTGATTATGAATTTTGAACATCCAGCAGTAACTGATAACTTTCTTAATTGTTTTTCCTCCATTAAAATCTCGGTTCTTTTCAAAATATAATATCTAACTACAAGAGGTAAGAAAAATAAAGGGCTAAAATGAAATGGCCAGATGTATTGCTTCTGATTCCCTCACATTAGTATGACAATTTTTACTTTTGGAAAGCACATTCTTCCTTTTGTTTCTCTTTCACTTTTTTCTTTTTTAATAGTTTGTGGTGATTCAAAGTTATACCTGCATACAGTTACCTTATTGCAACAAAAACGAAAGGTTTGTAGGTATAATATTCAAAAGGAGGTGCAGTGATTTGTTGCAGATGAAATGAAGGAAAGTAAGATGCAGCATTGAAGTAGAAATAGAAATTAAACACTATTTTCTACAAAAAGAAAGTTTCAAAAATAAATAAATACAAGTGAATGTTTAAGTGACATGAAAGTGTGAAAGAGTTCAATTGTAGCACAAATGATCAGTAGACAGAACTTCAATGGTAAGCCTTTACTCACTCAAAAAACAACAACAAATGGAACTCGTAAAAAGTCAGAGCAAACCTAATTTGAGACTGTCAAATACACAATACACATTCCTTCTGTAGCTGACCAATCAGAAAAAGGGCACTACTATGAAGAAATATCTGCTTTGTATGAAGTTACCAGGTGTCTCCCAAATGAGGTCTTATTAATTAACACAAAGTTACTACAAACTAAACAATAAATAAATAAGACACAAAACATATGTATAATTTCAGAAAATATGCTTTATTGCCTTATAAAACATAGAATTGTAAAAAATATTTCATATAGAGATCAGGTGGATATCTTTTGTCAGTATTTTCTTATCTATTACTTCAGTCCTCAAAGTGACTGTTGATAGAATTCATCTTAAATAAATCCAAATCATTTGATGAGAAGAACACAAACTTAGCTTAATCCAGTGACAGATCTAAGAGCACAAGAATGTAAAGATACTGATATCGTACAGTATTTATTGTATATGATTGATCAATACATACCTTAAGCTATCATGTGTGTCAGTAATAATTATTTACATCCTGAATTATCTAGAACACGATGAGTGCACCACACAGGATCATGAGTGTGATCAAAATGCAATGTGTCTAAACACAGAAGGAAGCTACAAATGTGAATGCCTAGAAGGATATCAAGGAGATGGATATACTTGTAAACGTAAGTAAACTATGAGAAGACCAATGTTGGTCTTAGCAATAGGATAATCAGATAAAACAGTCCAATAATAAGTTGTATATTATAACAGGGGGGGATTTAAAGGGACATGTTCCCCCAAAAGTTTTTTATATATATATATAATATATATCAAAGCTCATATTAGCTTCCTGGCTATTATATTAAGAAATTAAACATAACATGTTCTGTAAAGGTAATGAGTATATTTTAATCCTGAATATTATTTATATTTAGTGTGGGGCTCCAAATAGTCATTTGTCTTGCTTGCTTAAAGGCATCGCTGGTGGAAAACTAAATATGTGGTTAATAGTTACTTCTAGTAAATAACCTATTCATAATAGATATGTCAAGATGTTATTAAGTTTAACTTTTATTTCTAAGCTATGTATATTATATTCTTACAGATGCAGTGAATTTATATACATTGAGTTAAACCTTTCTTACTTTTACAAATTTAATTTGATAAAGTATGACTACTTGGATGCAGTTTCAAAACAATTTATCCTTAACATCTCTTGTTTGTAGCTTTTTGTAATCAAACCTGTTTAAATGGAGGTCAATGTGTGGCACCTGATGTTTGTTCTTGTCATCAGGGTTTTACTGGACCTAGCTGTGAAATAGGTAGGTGTGGAAGAGTCACTGGATTTAATTGTATAAAACACTTTGTTCAAAAAAGTAGCAAATTGTAAAACAGGCACACACACACACACACACATATTTACATTTGAAAAACAAATGAAACGGTTTTTTCTCCACTGGAGCTCATTATTTTTCTGCACTATGGTAGAAATATATGCATAAAATTGAAACTGTCCCTATTAAAGTGTACTAAGAATTCCTTACAAGATACTTGTATCAACACCTAGAGTCCCAAGGGGAACATAAGATAAGTGGCATTCATCATGTTAAGTAGTTGTATGTGTGGGTTTCAGATTATTTTATAACCCTAATAACATAAAACTTAACTTTGTTGCTACCAAAATCTTTCAGTCACAAGTAAACCAATGGGTTTGTTCACAAGAAGTGTAAGAATTAAAATATATAGGTTGTAAACATCAGCACATGTATTCTGTTCCACTTTTAATAAGTTCATCATATGATTTACTAAACTCTATGTATAACTTGTAACCAAGGTATACATGTATAGAATTAATTTTGGGAAAGAAAACATATTGAATTTATGGGTATTGGTGAAAAATACTGGGAATGTTATCATTTGCTCCTTAAGAATATTTTGACTTGCACTTGAAACTTTGATGGTTTAATACAGCTATATTGTTTTATTCTGTAGTTTATAGTCAGTCTACTTTAATTTTTTTTAAATTTGTATACAGAAAAATTAATTGTTGTGCATGATTAGCAACAAATGTAAAACTATATAAACAGAACATACCAGTCCATATGAGAGAGCAGGTGTGGACTAGCCAAATGAGACACCGAGAAAAATCCCGGTGAGACCCCTTGGAAAAGTACGTAGTTTGTTATTTTTATGACAAACTTGTGAGCCCCTTCTAGCTTTCTTCCAAATAACATTTTAGATTCAAATCTGCTCCTACGTGAGTGTAATATTGTGAAACGACAAAAGCCAAAACTTGCATGTCTTTCTTTTTCTTTAATGCCAAAGTGAAAACTTGTAATATCTTTTCTTCTATCACATGATTCTAGAGGAGGCGTAGTCAAATTATCCATCAATTTGAATTATATAAATATTCAAGCTTTATGTAATAGTAAGTTAAAAGAATGTCTGATGTACAAGTTTATGATTTATTGTGATTAATGTGTTTAATATTGAGTAGTCTACAAAACATACATGTTTAGATGCTTACTTGAATATCCTTTTTTCTTAAATTATTTTAAAATGGCATGATTTAATTTCAAGTATGTGAAATTTTAGGTTACAAATGTTACTGATTTCTGTTCAAATTCCTTAGATGTGGATGAATGCAGTTTGGGTCTTCACCAATGCTACCCTAATTCACAGTGTATCAATATGCCAGGGTGGTACTATTGTGACTGTATTCCTGGATATCAAAGCTATTTAGTAGATAACAAACTTGGAATTATGTGCCAAGGTATGACTATGATTAAGATAGTATCGTATGAGAACATAATATTATCTATTTCAAAATTCATTTATAAAAATACATAAAGTTATGTTGGATCATTTTTAAAATTAGATGATTATTGTTTCAGTAATTTTGCAAAAAATTATCTTCACAAAACTGTCACTAATTTTTAACTGAAACACAAGATGGAAAGCAGCTAGTAAATAGCACCAACCATCAACTCTTGGCTACTCTTATCTGATTGCACAGTGGAATTTTACCATCACTTTTTTAACACAACCATGACCCCAAAGTGTGGAGCACATTTTTGTGGTCGTTAGTTGCAGATCATGAATCCATAAACTTTTTTTATGCATACTAACTAACTTCTATGCCTTATCCAGCCTTATATTTGGATGATTATAAAGGAACAACTACCCATGTGCAGATTATTGTTTTAATATTACTATATTATTCTACATGGAATTATTAAATTTAAATTAGCTATATTTGATATATTTCTTTATGCACTTTGGTTTTATTTTTCTGAAAATAACTAAAATAAAATTTTTGTTTGATATCCTTTCAGTTTGTGACAATAAATTTTTACTATAGCTTTTATGGACACATTTCAAACTATATTTACTGTGCATCTAGTATCAGTTGCCATGTAAAATTTATAGGCATATAATATCTTTAAAAAATTGTTTTCTCAATCAATTCAAATTCTCTTTCAGAGTCGTGATCGATGATTTGACCCTTTATTTATATTTATAAAGAACAAATGTGTGCTAAACACAGCAAATATATGGTCACTTTTCATTTAAAAAAAAAATATTTTTTTCACGATTTTAGAAGGATAATTAACCCTGACTGTGGCATGGTTTGCAAGCATTATCAATATTTTCATTTTAAAAAATTATTAATAGCAGGATAATAATTAGAATATAGATATTTGGTAAGAACTTGTGTATGTAAGCAGGTTATGCTAATGTAATAGTAAATTGACAAATGATAATTTTTTATAAGCATAATATAGTTGTTTTATTTTAACAAACATATTACATGTTAAACAGAACATTTGGTAAGAAACATATACAACAAGTATAACTTTCCTTGGAAATAAGAAGCAAAGAACACCAAGGTCACATGCGTATAGGTGAGTTTCAGTTATCTGCTTTAATATGTAATCAGTTTGGATCAGATCTCAAAATACTTTGGAATGAAACTTTTCTCCTTCACCAATTCAAAAGTAAAATAAAAAAGAAAGAGATTGTTTAGAAACCATACAAGTCATCAAAGAAGGCAGTTTTTTTCATAAAACCTGACAACGGCACTGGTAACATCACTCAAATTTATCTGAGTTTATTCACCTAACTTTCACTCACACATTTAAACTTGTCTTTAGCTACAATCCTGTCACTAGGTGACAACATTCCTTAACATTAAACTTTTGTGTCTTTTGTCTTTGTACTTCATGATTTTGTATGTAAACCCTGTATGCTTAGCTGTAAATCGTGACCAAATGCTCTGTTGAAATATGCAGTATGTTCCTCATAACAAAACCACTTCATTATGCTTATAAGTCATTGTTTGTCAATTTACTCATAGTATGAACTTGACTTTTCTTTTTAATCTCACATTTAGAAACTGTAATATCAATTAGATTTATTGTCCCAAAAATTTTAGTTTTTAAGTACATTAGTATATTATAAAAAAAAAATAACTTTCTTGTTTTGATAAAAAAAATAGAACAGTATTTAAAGATTATTCCAAAATCTTAAATGCATAGCAATAAAATTTGCTTAAAACTAGAAGAAGGCAAAATTTTTTTAAAAACTTAAATATTGTAGAGGAAGTAAATTTTTTAAACTCGTTGCAACTAAACTAACCAGAAATATGTAAATATTAACTGTGTGCACAAGTAGATTTCTAATTTATTTGAGAAAAAGAAATTCAAATCAGTTCAAAGTGTGGTATGTGACAAAATAATTTAATAACATGAAATAAAGCATTTACTTTCATCAGTGGACTGAGTTAGCCAAGTGATTATCATGCTGGACTGTCAACTGGAAGATTATATCATGGTGATATTCAACATGTCCCACATCACTTTCAGCAGTGGGAAAATTATGAAAGTGACATTCATTTTTTTTTAGTTTGTTTAAATAATTAGGCAAAATCATTGTTGCAGTGCAAAGGTCTCACTTTGAAATAAGAAAATGATTTTAACTATCTGAATTACAAACAGAATATTTGTTAACTTTTAAACAAAAACGTTGTGAAACTCTGGATAATGCATAATTTTTGCATGTAAAGAAATGTGCTATTCTTACTTTTCTGTGAATCCTACATTTTTTTTTATATAATCAAAACAGTGCTGTTTTGTGGATATTGTCACTTATATTCATCAACTGATATATTGTTTTTCATCAAGACACCAATGAATGTCTTCAAGATTCTCACACATGCCACAGTACAGCTATTTGTATTAATGAAGATGGTGGATTTCGATGTGAATGTAATAACAATAATACCTGTTCTTTAGGTGAGTTTGAATATCTCATATTAATTGTTATAAAAGTTATACTTTGTAATTAGGACAACAAACTTTTACAGAAAATACTTATGTTGTGTGTGTTCTTTCTCTCACACAAAACTGTTATAACTTAGAGTTAGATCATCAGTAACTATAAGATTAAAATAAGACTAAATGTTTATTATGTATTCCCAAAGCAAACTTTAGGAAATTAAGTTACAGGTGAATATCGACATAACCAATTTTGAACATTTAACATCACAACTATGTGCAGTTTGTTTACTAATCTTTTATAGGTTGCATATACCATGGAACAGAGAGGGCTAATGGAGATACCTGGTTTGTAGAGGGTGACATCTGTTCACAGTGCACATGCACCAATGGTGTAGTCAGCTGCAACAAATTTGAGTGTGACTGTAACAGGCCTGACGTAAACCTAGACTGTTGCCCAGAATGTGACCAAACCTCATACTGTCATCATCAGGAAGTCACCAGAAAATTCCATAATGGAGAGCAGTGGATTTATCAGTGCCAAATCTGTGAATGCCTAGTATGTTGTATGATTTTAAAGACTTGCGTGGTTAATTTTTTGTGACACATTTTGCTTTGTTATATATGTAAAAAGTTAATTGTTAATGAGCAAATCAGTGTTTGTTATTGCATTTTTGTGTTTGTGTGGTTACTTCATATTATATATATGATAATATGTTGTTTATCACTCATAATATAATCCTAACTGAACTAGCATTTGTTTTTAACATAATTGTATAATAGCTCTTAAACAGTTTTACATAATCGTACTCTGTGAGGCTAGCTAATCTGTAAAATATTCATCTGTAAAAGATGTAATAATATAGTTATCGTAATTTCTGTAACTATCTATTTCAGTATAGTCTTATTACAAATTCTCTATTTTTCTAAGTAAATACTTCTGCAGAAAAGTTATGGTTTGACTATATCTTGAAGACGTGTAGGTTAATAACAGATACCCTAGTTCACTTTCATGGGGTAACTTACAGATAAAGTCTATTTTACATAATTTTAAATCATGTACCATCACAGATACACTAGAGTTACTTGATATTTTTATATACCTTTAAACTGCCTAATGCAACTGCAATACACTATCGTAATCTTGGACTACTTGAAAGTATTTTTGGAAATAGGCATTCAGTTTTGATTATTGGACTATGAAACTTACAGAACGAATAAATTACCGTTACAATTCTAAAACAAGTTGCCAGTATGGGAAGTTTGGTGTGAGATAGTTTCTAAAAATCAGGATTACATTTGAGAAAGAATATATGCAATATTTAAAAAATATACAATGGTGTCCAAAAAGGAAATAATTGATCTAGAATAGAGTGTAAGCAAACTTTTCCAGTTGTTCTGAGCTTTCTCATTGTACTTTTGAGTTATTTCTTTTGGAAGGGAATTTTTAATACTATTAGCTAAAACTGTCACACATTCAAGTTAATTTTGGGGTATAATATTTATTATGATTTTTAATAATATACTTTTTTTTTATGCTTAGGGTGTTGATATATGGTATTCCTTAATATAGTACACTTCAGTTTGAATTTTGACCTATAATTTATCAATTATTTGTACATTTATGACTTTGCTAATAAAGATTTTTTTTAATTTACGTAATTTCTTGATTGTAATACACTTGTTGTATTACTTTATTAAAACCATCTTGAAATCTGTATAGTATAACTTTTCTTAGTTTTGCAATATTTTTTCATCTGAATGATACTGAAGTTTTATAAAATCCAGTTTCCATTTTCGTAATTTGTTTTTCAAGTACGGAGAAGTTGATTGCTGGCCAGTTGATTGCCCTCCAGCCATGTGTGACCATCCAGTTCAACAACCTGGTGATTGCTGTCATCGTTGTGAGGATGATCCTTGCAGTTCTCAGACCTTCAGCAGTGAAGAAATCAGTGGCAATGGTACTTCAAACCTCCAAGGTGGACGTGGTTGTTTCTACAAAGGTCTTATGTATCGTTATGGGGAACGAGTCCCTATTGGTGAAGACCCCTGTACTTCTTGTTCTTGTAAGGTAGATACTTAATTTTATTAGTTTCCAATAACAAGAAATAAACTGAGTTCTATCACATAACAGAGACCTTTTTGGCTGCAATTTTGAAAAAAGTGTTCCATTTTGGAAGAAAAAAAATGTAATGTTAGTAAGAATTAATTTTTTAAGCCAGCATCTTGTGTTTCATACTTAATCATTAGAGTCTGATCATTCAGACTAAATGTTTTAAACTTACATTTGTTAAATGTTTGTAGTGAATTAAATTATAAAGTAAAATTGGGGGTATGAAGAAAATTAATGTTTCTTTACATAATGAACATAGAACTTTTTTTATCTATCAAACCTGATTGAACATAGTGTTCACGTATATTGATTCTTTGCTTCTAGTTATTCAGTATGATAAAGGTAGTAAAATATATTAATGCTTGATTTATTCTGTGTTACTTGTGTCAGATGAAATGTTCTAAAATACAACTGCAGTGCTTATCCCAATTTGTGTAGAAAAAGAGGTAACACTATTTTTATTTTTATGTAATATGGAATTTCAAGTGATAGCATCTCAGATTCATAATTACAGCTTTAAATAACTGTTGAAGACTAGAAAATTATTGTTTTGTCTTCTGTACATTCTTGTGTTAAAAAAAAGCTGGCACATTTGCATGCAAACTAAGTTGTAGTCTAGCCTATACTAGCACAAAGAGCACTTTTGGAGCACTGTTTCAAAACTAACAAATGCAGTAAGTTTTGCATTTACCTTTTTTTTTTCTCTTTTATACTTATTTGTAGTAATCACAAGGAAAATATTTTAAAATTGAATAATCTGTCTAGAATTTTTATAGGTGAAATGTAATTTGCACAAGACTGATACAGTGCTAAAGTCAACAGTTTTGTCTAATGCTCCCAAAATTCAAATAATTGATATGAAAAACTTCATCAGTTTTTATTAACATATAAAATTAACTTAGTTTGTCAATAACTGTGATACATTGTTTTATTGTGGCTTGAAACCTGTATCTGTGGCAATTTCTCATTCCATGCTGTAAGCTTATGGTTCTTTCGGTCACTCATAGCTGTATCTGCATGGAGATTTCAGCCTCTCCAGGTCTTTTTGAGTCACTGGTTGTTGTATCTCTTGTGTTCTTTGTTACCAATAGTATTATTTCTATGAATAATTAGCTTCTCATAGCTGTATTTCAAGGGTTCTTTATTACCAATAGCTGTATCTCTGTATTGCTGTATTTTTGGGATTATTTGTTACTCATAGCTGTATTTCTGGGATTTTTTTGGTACCTATATCTGTCTCTGCATAGTTACTTAATTTTCCATAGCTGTATATCCAAAGGTCTCACATTATTTTATGGCTGTATAATCAGTCTTTGGAGTTCTTCCAGTTATTCACATTGTACTGTTAAATGTATTGCAGTTACATGCAGTAGTAGTTCCTGGTTTCTGGCAGTAATTCAAAGATGTGTTACAGAAAAAGGTATAACTGTACAACATATTATTAATAAAGGTGTTTTTGTGTTAACTTCAGTACATTCAACCAAGGATAAAAAAACACTTTTGTAAAAGTATTGAATTTCAATTTTTCAATCAATAAACACTGCATGACAAATGAATTATTATCTTCATTTTGCAGTAAATTCTCATTTTGAATTTTCCAAACAAGTATTTCTTTTATGATATTTTATCTCCCAATCAATGACTTTTGTGTAGATAAAGCTCATTGCATCAACTAAAAACTATAATCTTATTATTTTATAAAATGAAAGTAGTGAAAATCGAAATGTCTATTTTATCTACTGCTTATATTATTGCTTTTAAGGAAGTATTTATGAGTATATAACAGGTGCATTCTAAACTGATACTTGGCTCTATCTTGGCATGGTTAACATTATTTAAAAATATTGCTGAGTACTTCATTTTATTTTACAGTCATTTCGATACACGTTTTACATTGTTTAACTAAGTACTCGATTTTCACAGTAATATAATTTTATCCAATAATTTTACTTTTTAACTCTTTTAGTTTCCTAACAAATTTGCACCAGATGACTAAAATAAAGAAAATTTGTTTAGCATACGTTTTTTTTTTACTTTGGGGTGGGGGATTTTCCTTTTTGCTTTCTGTTTTGTTCATATAGATTAACAAATTCTCGATATTTTTTTATCACCATGCATAAAGGACTTGTTTTGGTTATATACATACCTATTAAAAACTACTTCAGTTCAACTCTGTTTAGTCTTTGTTCATATTTCTTTATAGCAAGCACATAACCAGTACGTACATGCTTAAATATTTTGGTGCAAATTTGTAAGAATTTTGTTATGAGCAGTCAACATACTCACTAATCATAAGTCACAAAATATCTTTCAAACAGTATGTGGTAGCATTATGTACAGGTAACTTAGCTGCTATATTTGAACATTTTTAAGATAATGAAGTTTGTTATATTATATAGTTCTAATGAACATAATTGCTTAATACTTAGCCATTTTAATTGTTGTTGTATTTTTTTAAGTGTGGTAGGATGAAAAAAAAGAAAAAATTTTAAAGTTTAGAGGATAATGTTTTGATTAAGTTTTATGAAAATTCAAACTTTCTATAACTTATAAAAGAAAAATAAGTAAATGAGTAACTTCACATCCATAATTTATATACGATACCTAATTTTTCTGTTATAAGACAGCACCAGTTATTTTTTGCTGTTACAAGGGTTTTAAATATATACTAAAACATGTACCATAATTCCAATCTCTATACCTCTTAATCAGCTTCTGCTGAAAAGCAGTTTAATTTTATGTATATGTACAGTATTCAGTCTCTGCTAATTGTGTAAAAATTCTTCACAACCACCTTATTACAGGTTCCACACTGTGAACATTCGGTGAGAAATAGGGGTTGTAGTTTCAATCGGTAAAATAATATTCTTTATTTCACAGTTGTACATTATGCACCTGAGGAAGCACTTCTCACATTTTTAGTTTCATTTCTTTTTATTTTCTTCTTGATGTTAGTGTTCCACTCGTTAAAACTTAAGTGGTCCTTTAAATTTTCCTTATGTCTACAAAATGAAATATAAAAAAAGTGCATAAATTAAGATATTTGTATGGACATATCTTCCTGGAGACATCAAAAATGGCAGTAATTTATAAATGTATTCTACAGAGCACGTGTTCACAATCAAAACTTCATTAAATGCTGAGAAAAATAATTATACTTTTGTTCTTCATATCAAACAGTTAAATCATAATGAGTGTCATTAGTGGAAAGTAAAAATATGCTTTAATTCTTTTGTTTGTTTGTTATTAATCACACAGTTACACAATGGGTTAACTGTGCTCTGCCTAACTTAAATCCGAATTTTAGCATTGTAAGCTGTGGTGGGAGGGGGGGAGAAGGCATATTAATTTTGTCAATTGTTTTGGACACACTCGTCTTGATGAAACAGCCTATTCCACATCTTACATCTCTCTTTTTGAAATGCAAATTATTTATGAAATAATGCTAATAATACAGAGCCATGATAGAAATAATCTTCATCAAAATTTTATTGCATACACAGAGTACATTTTAGAGCTTGCTAATCCTAATGAACATCAATTCAAAATAATGGAACTTACATTAAATATAATCTTTAACCTTTGTCCTAACATCTCAACATGTCATTAATACTGTGTCTACATTGTTTCGGCCCCAAATATCAACATTATAGAAAATTATTTTGCTTGGTACTTACCTTAGATGTGTTCTTCTTTTGAATGATAATTGCTCACTTATCCTTGGCATTAGAAGACCATGCTTTAGGCTTTTTAATTTACCATTGCCCCTAAAAACTTATTGGGCAAAGAAACTGATTTTGATTAACTTGGAATATTTTTTTTGCAAAGATAGCATAAATCCAGCCAGAAGATAAGAATTAAATGTAATTGCATTAAAATTAGGACTGATATACACTGGCAAAAACTACCTTAGTGATTGGTTTACATTATAAAAATATTAGTGTAAAGAACTGTCTTGATATAGTGAATCTGAAAATTATTTGCATTAATGCTGAAATACATTAGCTTGAATATCAAATAGCTTCTGTGGTGTTGTTAACATATGAGACTGTACATTAACCTTCCTGGAACTTCTAATGACATTTAACACTTCCTAGATACTTTATAAATATTACACCAGTATAAAGAACTGGCTGTTGTGTGTTGTTTGGACAATACAATAGAAAGAGCAACAGTTAAGTATTTACAGTTGCTATTGCCAAGAACACATTATACATGTAAGCTATTTTTATATTTCACTCAGAAATAGCTCGTTTAAGAAGTATATATATCAATTGTGGAACACTATATCAAGTTGATTATTTTTTATGTCACCTTAAGTTGTCTTATTTTCATATGGATGTTGTGCATGGATGTGTTAATTGATGTGATATATTTTGTTAATAACATGCATGACATGCTTCATTTTAAGTAGGGAGTTGTGACAATATATTATTGGAATAGGTTTTAATATATTTGTATTTGATTCATTTACCTGTTGAAATGACAGCAGCAGTCATGTTAGAGAGCTGGTAACAAAATATATGTATATATACAAAATTAATAGGATTTTAAATACTTTGATGACTTTCCTGTTTTTATACAAAGTAAATATGTTTACAATGGTCACATGATTTGTTTTTTGGGGAGGGGTGTTATATCATGTAGCTGTAAATTCATCTTTCAAAAATTATAAACATTTGAGTTATGTGCTCCTCTGAACAATAACTTTATAAGTAAAAAAAAACAAAATACATAACAGCTAACTAACCAACTAGCTGGAATTAAGTCTAAGCCTTTAACCCCACTGTTGGCAGAAAAATAGTAATTGTTTTTTTCTGCTAGACATTAGCTTAATTAAGTTTATTTGTTAGTATATTTTGAAACAAGCACATATTAGCAATTCTTATATAACTACAGTTTAATAATCTCTAAAGCACTGTGTTTCAACTTGTAATCTTGAAATATATAGGTAAATTCCAAGCTATTTACTAAAATTATAATGTTTATATATGAGGAGTTTGTAATTATATACAAAAATGTATGTTCATTGGACAAAAGAATTTGGCTTCTAATAATATAAATATCAGAACTCCCTAAACTCAGTGATATGTTTAAAGCTGTGTCTTGCACTGCAAGTTTTTCTTCAGTTGCTGACTTTGGTGATCTTTATTTTTATGTTCTTACCTTAGTTGTACTGTATTGCTTGCTTAAACCATAATGTTTTAATTAAGTCTTGATTAACACCATCTGTTGATAGTTATTTTGAAATATATATAATATTAAAAAAATCTTTGTAATGTTGATTAAGTGTTATGTATATGTCAAAAATTTTGTCTTGTACAGAGTATTTAGTAAAAATTGTAGAGGCATTACACTGCTATTTGCACAGCATAGATTTATACCATAAGAATAAAAAGTCAGCTTGTGATTCATTGTATACTTCATGAACAGTTTCAAAACAAAAAAGAATACTCATGGTATTGAATTAATCACCTGCTTCATTCTCTAACATTTAAACTTGCATGTGCTCTGATAAACATAAATTTTGGTTATTTCATACAACATTGTAGTTATCTAACATTCAGTCTTGGTTATATGACACCATTTTGATGATTTCACATAAAACTTTGGTTATTTGACTTACAATTTTAGTTGTTTGACATACCATTTTTGTTAGCTGACATATCACTTGATTGACAGCAAGCACCTCATTCTAATCTTGAGAAGGAAACACCTCTGCCATTTAGATGAGATATTAAACTGGGGTCATTGATCCATCTCATAATCATGACCAAGAATAAATTTTATTTAAAAGTACTATTATGTTATTTTATAGGGATGTCTATAAATGAAAACAGAGTGTAGTAAACTGTTTTTTCAAAACAAATGGAAATGCTGCATAGTCAATATGATAACCTGTTTTAGTTCTCAGTAGAGAGGGAAATATCATTAACCCCAGGCCTTTCATATAATGCTGCATGTACAAATTCAATATAATGATACTTTCTGTTTAAAATGTTACCATAACTTTTTATGGCTATACACTACAGAATTTATAGAAACAAAATTGGTTTTGTAATAGTCTGACTAAATTATTATATTTATTTGTTACTTCATTTATTAATAACAGCTATTGACAGATGATGTTAACTATCTTGCTTGTCATATAGATTCTTGTAAATGTTTTATATTTAGATTACCTCTAAATAACATTCAAAAAAGGCACTTATCAGTGGCTGCTATATAAAATTTTCAATCCCAGTTGAAATCTAAATTTATATGTATAGCTACCTTATCAGAAATTTTGAAATATTATCAAAAATCAGTTGTCTTTTTTCTATACAAACTTATAAAATATAAGAAACAAATAACTTTCATATCCCACAGTTTAGATTAACTTTATACAGCCCTGTTGATATTCATTTCATATCCACTGGTTTCCAGCTTCAACAGTAATTTTCTCTAAGAAAATTAATAACTTTTGCAAGAATTAGGTTTTGAGATTGTGCATTTACTATGATACTGAAGTAAAGGTTAATCGAAGGAGATAAACTGAAAAATATTCAAAGCAGTGATTGGTCTTGGTTAAAAAAAATTGTAGCAATTGGAACTCAAGTATTATTTGACATTAAATGGAGCTGTACCTCTCCTACTTCTGAGTGCCTTCTTTGGATGTACTAATGAAGTACTAACATAATAAATCAAAACATTTTTGTTTTGGTTAGAATACTTTTCAGTTGCTTTTATAAACCAAATGGATATCAATTCAAATAACTTAATTCAGTCTCAAGGAAAATTGTAGAGCTTTTTTATTATATACTCTTATCAGACTTTGGTTTTCATAATTTCTACCACTTTTGTAAATTTATGAATTATTTTGTTTTGTTTGTTTGTTTTGGCTATACTACTAACAATCCTAACATGATCTTATCATATTTAACAATTGAAATTATGTATGAAAGTTTCAGAGAAATTTATTTTGAACTATAACACATTCTATTTTTGGATCCACAGAATGGAAAACTTTGTTGCACATATACTCCTTCTTGCAATGACAACACTGTCCACTCTGCTCTTCTCAACCATAAAGACTTACACAATACTTTTGAGCAAAGCACCGATCCCATTAGGAAGATGGAAGTCTTGCATAATAATGCAAAATTGGATCTTCAAATCTACGACGATAAAGAGGGATCATCTGAACAATCAACATCTAGTTTGTCAGACTACAATGTTGTGGGAAAGAGAGTTGCTATGGTGGAGGAGCACCTCACAGAATCTACAGTAAAGAATCTTGCCACTCCTGACATAGAAGACACTCCAACAATTTTCCAATGGTCCAGTGTTGAAAATGGGAAAACTTTGGGAATTTCAGTGCTAGCAACTGAGTCCTCTTCAGCTGCTGCTGATGAAAGTTGAAATATTGATTTTTTGGGGGCAGTTTGGTAGCATTTCTTTTCTCTACTGTTCTTCGCATTTAGCTACCTCAGCAACTAAGATTTCTTTACTAGTTTCTGATAACAAATACTATAGAGGGTCCTGAAACAACACAAATGTTTTTAGAATATAAATATAAAGCAGCATGCAAGCAGCTGAAGAAATTTATGTTTGTTCTTTGATTAACAGTGAAGTAATGGTGAAACAGTGTAAAGAAATGTGTTACATTCTAGCCTCTGTCTGCTCACATTTAAGTTTTTGAAAGTTTGAATATGAATGATTGCCTTCATTTACAACGTGGACCAGAAGGAAATGAGTTTGTAACGGTGTTTCTTTTGTGTTTGCAGTGACAGTAAGTGTTTATATAACACTAACTGTTTATCGTGAATAGAATGTGCCATTCAAGACTTTAACTCAAATGTGTTATAAAAGTATCCAAGCTGTTAAGTACTTGTTGAAAGACCCATTTTGCTTGAAGAGGACTGTTTTCATACGACTTACAAATGTATGATTTGTGTTTACTTGATTTTTGTACAAGTGTACACATGTGCTAGCATTACTAACTAATCTGTACATAAGATCACTTGGTGGCTAGGCTCTGTGTGCCTAATTATTTATTGCTTTGAAATAGAGGTGTAAAATAAGCTTATTAGTCAAATGAAGGTCATGTTACTGTAAATTATGTTATAATGTATAGATGCAAGTAGAATTTTAAGGTTTAAAAAAGCATTTGATAGGATTGTATGTACTTTGTAGTAATTTGAAGAGAGTTAATACTGCACATAACTGCCAAAAAAGAATCAAATGAAAATCAAAAGTTGCCTCAGTATTTTTGGAAAGAATGTTTCATGTATGGAAAAATATGACCCAAGAGACTGTTTTCAGAAACAGTGCAGATGTTATTTTAATGAAAAGTCTACTAGTCATAAATATGGTTGATTAGTTATTACTGAAAATTATTAAATTAGTCTTATGTTACAGTCTTGATGTTTTGTGATCTCAGAATCTTTCAAAGTTTTCCAGACTGGAACTTACCTGATGAGTTTTGTGTATTAATGAGTGTCTGGTAGGAAATAAATCTATAAAACTGTGTGAAAGGGCCTTTTAAAAATTATTTAGTGTAATAACTGTCATTTCCTTTAAACATAAAATTACTATCTGCTGTTAAACATAAGCCACCACTCATTCCAATTCCAAAGCAGGATTATTTGATGCTTTATAGTTTTTACTTATAATTTTTAATTTAATTGTTAGTCCTACACATACTTTCCGAGCCTCTTGTTTGGACACAAAAGTCAAGTGGTGTATTTAACGTCAGTGCAAGTGGGGCAACACACTGATGGGCTCCTCATATCGCAGGCTCCCAAAGTAATACAAAAAATTATACAGTTCTATACCTCTAAGTGATCAGTACAGACGGGCCCTCTAAGAAAATTGCATCAAGTAGTTTGAAGTGTTAAAAACATCTCTACAACAATCTAAAACACAAGAATGACCTAGTGGAATTGCATTCTTTGTTTTTTTAACAATCATCATCTTGTTAATCAGTACACTGTTACCTCTAGAGAAACCATGTATATGTGCAACATGTCAAGTAAGTAGAAGGATGCAATTAATTACTGTTTATATCAGTAGGACTAACAAGTATCTTTTGAATCCTAAACTGACTATTTGAATAAAATAATTTACCAACATAATGAATTTCTAACCAACTAAACAGAGGAAAGAAAGACTGGTGTATTGCATCCTTTTATCATGTTCTTTTGATAGCTTTGTCATATGAGTTGAGTAGTAATACATTTTTGTCTTAAAATATTTTGTTACATTTGAAATAATGTGATTTGTAACTAAGACAAGTATTGTACTGCTATTGAGAAAGCTAAAGGAATGTATACAATAAAAAAAGTTGGGGTTAATTTTGAATTTATGGTAAAAATTATGAAAAACGTGTTAAAGATTGGCACTTTTTTTTTTGAGGCAACAGAATGTGGTATCCTACCAAGACAAAGAAATCAATTAACTAGTATAGGAAACTTTCCAATTACTTATGTTCAACACACTTCAAAAATGAGTAATGTATGTCAGTAGTTTAAATTCTTCACTTGGTTAGGAAATCAGCAGTCAGCTGACTATTCAGAGATTTTAAGAATCAGGTACTCAGAGTAATTTGAGAAAGAACTGGAAGAAAAGGATACTAAAATGGAAGAGGAGTACCAGAAAAGGTTGGTAGATATTTTCATGTCTCACCCAAGAAACAAAAGAACCTCAAAAGGGCATAACAATCATTCCAATAGGTGAAGATGAGATTTTAAATGAAGAACAAAATTTTGCTTAAAAGCCATATGTACATGTAACTTACCTCTAAGGTAAACATACCAAACAGCATCCAATATATCTAAGGTGGTAGTTAAGGTATGACTACTAAACTGTTATGCCCTTACAGGCAGAATCAAGTTAAAAAATATATCATTTTCTTACCTAAACAACTGTAAATGTTTAAGATCTGCCTTGCTTATAGATCTAAAAATGTTAAATCAATACAATTATATTAAGCTGTGACAACAAATATTACACAGTGGTGTATGGATTATATCATTTGAATTTGGAGACTACAGTTAAGACCAACATGATCAATTAACTTAAGCATCCTATAGTATTGTTACGTTTCCGTTTGTTAATTAACTTTCCGTAACTTCGTTCCGACGAAACTTTAGCGACACAAGTTCTTACTTAATAAAACTGGTTTATTTTTTCTGAATATAACTTTAACGATACACTTATTTTCAACAGTCGCTCTTTTACAAACGTTTTAACAACGAACGTTAACTTCAACAATACTTCCTGACTGCAGTTCAATTACTCACTACCTACACACACATTGTTGTAACGTTGTGAGCGTCTTATACAGGAAGGAACAAGATAGTTCTAGAAACGTGGCGTGACACTAGTCACGTGACCTCGCTGACGCAACACTGCTCCCTCCTTAGTATTGTTCGTCCCGAACAATAGCCACTTACAATAAACCAATAACAATTAACAATAACTTAATTAAATGTACAGAATTACAATCACAAAAATCCAATCCAACAAAGTCTCTTCATTTTACGGGACGTATATTCTTCCCTACTGGTCTCCGTCTCGTTGGCTTCTGCTTCATATGGGGTTCCTCTGCTTCATCAGGAAATGTTCTATCGTCGATAA